GGCTTTTTAAAACTAGCATTTTTCTTTCACATGGTTTACATCAGTTTACAAACAACGTAATCTGAAACAGAACACAGACGTCCCCTGTAACTGAGGTCAGATGTGATGGAGGCTCCCACCTGCCCATGTCTGCAAACCTGGTGGCTGTTGGCCACCACCCAGCAGGGTCGGGCACACGTGGTGGATGCCAGCACTGCCTTCCCCACCCCCCCCAGGGCGGGTCACATGGCTGCTGAGATCGCGTCGGGCCGGCCTGTGATGCCCTGCTGCGTCATCGTCTGGACCTGGGGTCTGGACCCTGCAGTGGAAGTTGTGTTATTAACTGTTGTTGGTTGTCTGGACGGTGCTGAAGAGACAGGTGTCCTGAGACCATCTCGTGTGGGAGAGCTGAGCGCCCTGGGGCTTCCCATGGACGGAGACCCCTTGCTCCATGCGGCTCTGGAGGGCAGAGGGGCTGCTGGGTGGACGAGCAGGTGGGCTCGGGTCTTGGCTCGTGGAGGGATGGGGGTCAGCGGCCCATGGGGCCGGGGACTTTCTGCCACTGCACGCAGAGCCTCTGTGATGCGAGGGGCCCAGCTTCCCCCGCGCCTGCTCTTTGCCTCTGATGGTGGGACTCGCCATCTCTGAGGCCCGCAGGGAGGAGCGCTTTGCCCCTGCCCCGGGGGGTGGGACTGGGTGAGGGGCTGGTATCTCCTGCTTCTCCTCGGGACCTGTCCTGCCTTCAGGTGCTGGGTGTGCGGCTGAGTCGGTTTTCCTGGTTGGAGCCGCTCCCACCAGCCCTAGGTGGTTCTGTAGAAAGGGGCTCAGTCATGTATTCAGCATGCAATTGAAAACCATACCTCGTGTGCGTGTGTGTGTGTGCGCTTGCACATACATTCATGTAGGAGTGTCAGCTCCTCTGGGAGGAGGGTGGTGGGGCTGGGGGAGAGGGTGGTACTGGAGGACCTTAATACTTTAAATCTGTGGACATCATCTTGTGGTTTGAAGAAGCGCAGCAACCAGCCAGCCCTGTGTGTAGCGTGGTGGGTCGCAGACACCGCGATCTGTGAACAGACTTGGGGGTTCTGGGGGTGCACCTCACCGGGTCCTGGTGCTGTGGCTCTCAGAACTGCTCTTCCGGATGAGCAGCGGGTCCAGCGACTGGTCTGCTTTGCAGCAGCTACCTGTGATGTTGTCGGAGTCAGAGCTTGCTTCGCTCTCAAAAAGCCTGCCTTTTCCAGGCCTTTCTCCGCTGTGGGCAGGCGTGGGGTCACACGTGTCCCTGCGGTCTCTCTCTTCCAGCCAGGAAGACCAGCAAGCAGGTCTTTGTCAGCTATAACGTTCCAAACACCAGCAGCAGCTTCGAGTTGCTGGTAGAAAACCGGATCAAGGAGGAGATGCAGGCCTTTCCGGAGAAGTTCTAGCCAGAGAGACTCAGGCACAGGGGACGCTTGAATAAACAGACTGGATCCCACCGCTGCAGCAGGTTTACGTGTTCGCGTTTGTTCTTAAAGGGCTGGTCTCCTCCCTCCAGTCGCTGGGTAGGGTCCCAGGGCTGCACCTGAGGGTCCAGGGAGGAGGGGTCCAGCAGGACGTGTGAGGATGGGGAGGCCGCCCTGGTCCCCTAGAGGGCGTGGGCCACGACTGTGTCAGGCCGTCCTGCCAGCTCCATCCCCAAGGTCTCGCTCCACTGGGCCCTGTCCCCTCACCTGGGAGGTGGGAACCGTCTCCGGGCTGGGTTATCACCAGAAACGCTCTGCAAACCCTGTATGCCGGTGTCCCTAGGAACTGGGTTCTGGGTTTACCTGCCTTGCTGAACGGATCCCAGCGTCAGCCCCTCCTCATGCTTCCTGCCACCCCGTCTTTCCTTCTGTCTCCTCTCTCCTCCACGCCCTGGGCCCTTCCTGCCCGCGTCTTAACCCTCAGCCTTTTCCTGCTGCTCGCGGTGGCATCAGTCTCTCTGGGACACGTGCTGCTTTCCGGAAGCCACAGTGTTCCTGGGTCAGCGGCTCCCTACTTGGCTTCCAGTTGCGTCCCTGGGGAGTTTTTACAGCTTCCTCCCCGGAGTCAGGCAGCCCCTGCTTTGTGGGGCCGGAGACCGCCCCACGTGCCTCTCGGCACAGCCAAGGCAGGGACTGGACTCTTTGACGCTTGGGGTCCACATGGGCCCCTTTTGTCCTGGGAGGCAGTGGTTCGGGACCCTGGAGTGCGTTTCACGTGGTGGCAGGTATCACGCTGGGCTGGCTGGGACGCTCAGCCGGGATGAAAGGCCCGTCCGGGAACTGGGTCCTGGGCTAAGCCGCTAACCTGTGAGCCCCGGCCTGTCACGGCTTGGAGGTACGGAGGGCACCTCTCTAGGAGGGAGGAATAGGTAACAAAATCAGGGCTATGGAGAGGAGAGTTTGGTATAAATACTTTATTAAAGAAATATTGCTTTCTTGTTAAAAAAAAACACTACATTAAAGAGAGCCTTGGGCGCTCAGTCTTCCGACAGTCACAGTGTGAGAATCGTTCCCTCCCTGGGAGGCTCCAGGCCCCGGGTGAGGTCAGCAGACGGCCACACACCAGCGGGGCGAGCTCGGAAACCTGCCACCCGTCCTCAGGGGTCTGAGCGGGTCACTGAGCAGGCAGTGGGCAGTCACCCCACCCTGCCTCTGCCTGCCCGGAAGACGAGGACCTGCTGGCCAGGAGCCCCCCAGCCTGGGGCAGGGCGGGGGCTGGGGTCACGCAGGCGCTGAAGCAGGGACACAGTGAGACCTGAACGCACAGAGTTTATTCCTTGTAGCCAGTGGTCATGAAATGCCCTGCAGGGGATCCCATCGGATGAGGTAGGGAAGACATTCCAGAGGTTTGTTAATGGGGCAACATCTTTATTTCTGTACATTTACACACACATCTCCCCCATGGTACAACAGCCGTGACGGCATGCAGGCGGCACGGAAGGCCGGGTCAGGGCTGGGTGCAGCTCTGTGCCGCCAGCAGGCACTCCAGGGGTCCTGTCCGGAAGCTTCCGGGTTGCTGCCACGGGGCAGGGAGGGCCCCTCAGTGAGGCCGGCACGCTGCGTCCCCCTGGCCTGGGGCTGCATCCTGGCCAGGGTCCCCACGGTCTTGTGGCCCTTCGGCCCCCCAGTTTGGCTCTAGGAGGTGGTACCAGGGACAGTGCTTACTCTGCGAGGCCTCATTCTTGCTGTTCTGTCGTCAGACCAGCTCACCAGCCCCTTCCCCCTAGTTGCCAGTGATTACGCTCTTAGAAAATGAGATATTTAAACCGTCTTACTCTGTTTCGGGTGCTAATATGCGGGATATTAGGTGAGTTGTTACTGGTTTCTGGAAAAGAACAGAAAGCAGAAGGGTTGCCTGTGTGCCTGACTTGGAAGGGGGGGTCCCGGCTCCCTGGGGTCGGGACGTGGGGTGCAGGGTGGCGCCGGGCCCCCCAGGCGGGCGGTCAGGTGCCTGAGCAGCGTCTCCCTGCTGAGCATGGAGGACACGGGCCGGGGGTCCACGCATGACTTGGGCCTGGCCAAGCAGGCGGGGCGCTGCCGCCTTGCCCACGCGGGCGGGGGCTTGGCCTGCGGGAGGCTTTTCTGCTTTGGCCCCGCTTCTCAGCCATTGCTCACGGAAGCCGTGAGCCCGGGCTGTGCTGGTCTCATGCCCGCAGGAGCCCAGCCTCGGCCAGCGTCTCGTCTAGTCCAGGAGACGGGCCTGACCATGACGGGACAGTGCTGACCCCACAGGACCGGCGTCTACCGTGGTCACCTAAGACGGACAGTCTTCCTGGAGGTGCAGGCCACACCCTGCGGCTTCATGCGTTCCCTAGAGGTCTACACCGCCAGCGGGAGGCCACGCAGCGCCTGGGGTCTGGTGAGTGGGCTGGTCTGGGGTCGCAGGTGCAGGCACGCCTGGCAGGTGGGGCCCGGGGACCCTGCTTGCTGCCCCGGCCCCCACACTGCAGGCCTGTCCTGGACCGGGGGGCCCGCGCCCAGCACGTGAGAAGGGCTGAGGCATCTCCTGGTTTGGCAGACAGGCCTGGAGGTTAAGGTGAGTGTGACCCGCCCCGTGGAAACAGAGAACAGAAGTGACTTGAGAGATGGAGAGCCAGGAGGAGCTGGGTCACAGGCCTGCGAGTTTGCTCGCTTTCCCACAAAGTTCTCCGGAGCCCGCGGCTCCTCCCAGGTCGGCCAGCGTGTGGGGGCTCGGTCGGGGGCGGGAGGTTGCCTTGCTGGTTCACACAGACTTGGGGGCCACGCTGTCCCTGGAAGAAGAGCCCACGGCAAAGACGTGTCCCAGAGCCGGGGCCGGGCCTTCCAGAGAGCCCAGGCTGCCCCCAGACGGGTGCCGGTGCTGCGACAGGATGGGGCCCGCCTGGCTGGCGAGGGTAGCTTCTTGGCCTCCCCCGTGCCGCCTCTGAAACAGCCGCAGACGGAACCGAAGGCCTGACCCTGACAGGCGGGAGGACGGGTCGAGGAACGCGGCGCCCTCGCACGGCGGGGCGGGGCGAGCTCGGGTGGGTTATTGCTTCTCGCGCTTGGCCTCGATGCCCTCCGAGGCTGCGGTCAGGCCCCGCCCAGGCCCCGCTCCTCGCCGGGGGGGAGCAGAGGACACGGCCGGTCCCTCGCAGGCTCCCCGGGGCCTCCAGGCTGGTGATTTCCGCGCGGTGTGTGCTCAGGACACGGCCTACCTGGGCCACGCCTGCGAGAGTGCCCGTCCCTCCCGGAGCGCTGCCGCGGTCGTTTCCCTTGGGTTTAGTTCAGGAAGGAGCCGGTAGTGAAGTCTTGCTGCAGAAACGCTGACTGCGAGGCGGGGCGGGGAGAGCCTTTCCTGCGGGAGCGGGCGACACGCGCGCGGGAGGGCGGTGGCAGCAGTGACTCGTGGCCGCGAGGCGCTGGTTGCTGGGGAGCGCAGCGGACAGACCTGCGCTGGAAGACCGTGGCGAGGCCGCCACTCATCATTTATGACTTCCGGTGACATGGTGACGCTTTTCCCCCGAAAGAGCTTCCGGATCAAGTATAAAAAGGATGATCTCGAAGGAGAGACGAAGCTGGTTTTAATGATATTGTGAGCTGCTTTTCCCTAACAGAGCGGAAGCTCTTCCCTTACAGAAAAGACTTTTACAAACCATCACACAGACTCCAGCAAAACCCTAACCATTCACATCTCAGTCTGAGGAGAGCGCAGCCCTGGGGATGCTCGGGGGCGGGGGACCCCGGGGAGCCGGGCTGCACGGTCCGGTCCAGCGGCGGCGTGTCCTTCCCGAGGAGGGGGCTTGGTTTTGAGATCAGTGAAGGGAAGGGAATAAAGTGCTTCTTGTAAAAATGACCAAAATAAATACAAACATTTCATGGCAGAAAAGAAAGTCTCCGAAGGGTCGTCTGCTAGGTCCGCTCCCCCAGACGCGTGCGCTCCTCGAGAGCTTTGCAGGGTCCCCGCCCCACCCCGGGGTCCCCAGCCTCCGCGCCGGCTACATGGGCCGCCCGCCGTTGGCCGTGGCCCCGTCGGGCCGCCCGTCGCCCGCGGCGGCCGCGTCGTGCAGCCCCGAGTAGTCCTTGAGCTCGGCGTGGGTGGGCAGCAGGGGCTGCTCGCCGCGCCGGGGCGGCAGGAGCGGCTGGCGCGTGTAGTGCTCGCCGTCGGGGATGCTCTCGGGCAGGCTCTGGCCCCGGCTCTCGGGCAGCAGCAGGAGGCAGATGATGCAGATGAGCGTGCAGCAGGCGAAGATGACGTGGTGCAGGAAGTAGCCCTTCTGGTTGTGCAGCTCGATGATGGGCGCCGTCAGCATGCCGAAGCCCGCGCTGGCCAGCACCAGCCCCAGCCCGCCGCACCTACGAGGGTGCACGGGTCAGCGGGCCGGGCCGGGCCGGGCCCCGCCCCTGCCCCGGCCCATCCCGCGTTCCCCGCGTCAGCCCAGGCTTCTTCCTTCCTTCACTTTCAAAGGTGACTCTATAATAAACACCACCGTAAGGGGGAAAACCAGCCTCACCTGCCCTACATGATAGACAGTGTTGAGAAACCAGGTGTTAGTAGATTACGCTGTTGTCCCGAGGCTTGCTTTCCGCTTAGAAGAGAGGAGGGTGGCCACGGATTAACGAAGGCATTAAAAACACATCAAGAGGAAAGCTGCCAAGACAGTGGAGCATAAAGGCCCTGAGCTCGCCTCCCTGCAAGGGGCCACCAGAATCACAGCTGTCTGTGGAACAACCATTGATGCCAAATAGATCCACAACTAAAGACGTAAAGAAGGAACCATGACAAGATGGGTAGGAGGACCAGAAGCACAATATAAAGTCTCATGACTCCCACCAGACCACTGACCCACATGCTGGAGAATATATTCCAGAGGATCTCCCACAGAAGTGAGTTCTGAACCCCAAGTCGGGCTCCCCAGCTTGGGCGTCCTGCACCAGGAAGAAACACACCGCAACACAATAAAGGCCATATATGACAAACCCAGGCTGCCCAGTGGCGCAGTGGTAAAGAATCTGCCTGTCAGTGCAAGAGACGCAGGTCTGATTCCCCTCCAGGGAAGAGCCCCTGGAGGAGAAGACGGCAGCCCACTCCAGTGTCCTCGCCTGGGAAATCCCATGCACAGAGGAGCCTGGGGGACCACAGTCCACGGGGTCACAGAGACTCGGACCTGACTTAGCAGCTGAGCACAAGCATGGTCACAGAGCTAGAGCTGACATCCTCCACGGTGAAAAGCTAAAAGCATCTCCTCTGCGATCAGGAACAAGAACAAGGTGTGCACTCTCACCATTTTTACTCAACATAGTTTTGAATAAAAATCCTAGCCACAGCAAAGAAGAATCCAAATTGGAAAGAAGTAAAACTGTCACTGTTTGCAGATGACGTGATACTATATATAGAAAATCCTAAAGATGCTACCAGAAAACTGCTGGAGCTCATCAGTGAATTCGGTAAAACTGCAAGATGAGAAATTAATAAACAAGTCTGTTGCATTTCTATACACTAACAACAAACTATCAGTAACAGAAATTAAGGAAACAATCTCATTTACCATCACATCAAAGAGAATAAAATACATAGGAATAAACCTACCTAAGGAGGTAAAAGACTTGTATTCTGAAAGCTATGATGCTAATGAAAGAAATAGATGATGACAAAAACAAATAGGAATATACACTGTTTTTGGATTGGGAGAATCACTGTTCTTAAAATCACCACCACACAAGGCAATCTACAGATTGAGTGCAGTCCTTATCAGAATACCCATGACATTTTTCACAGAACTACAACAAATATCTTAGAAACTTATGGAAACACAGCAGACCTGTAATACCAAAACAATCTTGAGAAAGCAGGAGAGAGCTGCAGGAATCAAGTTCCCTGACTCCAGACTACACTAGAAAGCTACAGCGATCACAGCAGCAGGGTGCTGGCGCAGAAACCGACACGCAGACCAACGGAACCGAATAGAAAGCCCATAAAGAAACCTGCACGCTTATGGTCAGTTAACCTGTGACAGAGGAGGCAAGAATGTGCAGTGGGGAGCGGACAGTCAAGCATTCTCTTCTGGAACGTCCACAGCAGACACCCCGCTTCGTAACCATTGGGACGCTGCAGATCAGATCGCCCTGGTCCTCGGCAGGAGGGCCACTGGCCAAGTGAACGCAGCAGAGTGAATCTGACGACCCTGCAGAGAGTGGTGTGACTGAGCCACCGGAAGTTGGATAAACGAGAACCTGAAACAACCGTTTGGTCCTCATGAGTCTGCTCACTCCAGGAAGCTACAGGGCGCTGCAGGGGGCGTGTGGGCTGCTGGGGCTAAAGCTCTTGTTCCCAGGCTTTTGATACCAGTGAGCCGTCATTTTCTCCAAGACCACCTGGGTGACCTTCCCGTGCCTGAGTCTGGGTGGTGCCGAGGGAGGTGGGCCCACAGGGAGGTGGGTACAGAGCCCCCAAGGGGGTCCTGGTCAAGGAGCTGGGCTCCCCTCAGAGTCCAGGTGAACCTGACATGGTAAGGTATTAGGTTACTGTGCGCGCTAAGTCGCCTCAGTTGTGTCTGACTCTGCAACCCTATGGACTGGAGCCTGCCAGGCTCCTCTCTCCATGGGATTCTCCAGGCCAGAATACTGGAGTGGGTAGACTGTCCCTTCTCCAGGGGATCTTCCCAAACCAGGGATTGAAGCCAGGTCTCCCACACTGCAGGTGGATTCTTTTATCACCTGAGTTACCACTGGCAGGCTGGTTCTTTACTACTAGCGCCACCTGGAAGGTCTATCAAATGAAATGTATTTGATTTACGGTAGAACTTTGGACTGGTTTTTAAAAAGTGCCTCTGTGTCTACGAATGCATACATATAAAATGCAATATATGTATGCATGCATATGTACTATGCAATATGTCTTTGCATATTTTTCCCCACAAAAGCCGTTTTCTGTTGATTTCCTATTAAGGATCCCTTGGGATTAGTAAGATCAGGAACAGCTGTGGCAGAATCTGATATTCCATTTTTGGCTCTTGTGTTTCAGAAATCTCAGTTCAGAGAATGGGATGATTATGTGGTTGGTTCTGAGGCTCTACCCTGCCCCCACCACCCCGAATGCTGACTTTGTACACTTTCTGCTTTTCTCTAGCCTGTCAGGAGAGGGCAGCACCTGCTCATGTTTAAGCAGTAGATTTACAGAGAAAGGAGGACCCAGGGCAGGTTGCCTCCTCCAGCTTCAGGAGCACAGAGGTTTAATATGCACTGGATATCTGATTTACTAGTGATGATGTGATGGTGATGCATTAGTCCCTCAGTCGTGCCCGACTCTGCGACCCCAAGCACTGCAGCCCACCAGGCTCCTCTGTCCATGGACATCTCCAAGCAAGAATATTGGAGTGGGCAGCCTTTCTCTTCTCCAGGGGAATCTTCCTGACCCAGGGATCAAACCCAGGTCTCCTGCATTGCAGGCAGATTCTTCACCATCTGCACCAAAGGGCCCTTATTTTTTTACTAGTGATAACATCTAAATTACTTTAACGATATAAAGGTTGGCATGCAGGCAGATTTCTTATAAGTAGCAAGCTTGAATTAAGTTTTCTGGGATCTTTGGGGGAAAAAAAGAAACAGAAAAAACAAAGAATCTTCAAATTATTCTTTTAAAGACATGAACCCAGCATCTTGAACACAGAAAACAAGCTTCCTGTTTTTCGATTCCTCCGTCGTGTTATTTATTTTTACTGCCTTTCTGTGAAGTCAGAGATGAACAAATATTTCTGCCAATCTCTGCATATCACTGCCAGAAACACTCAGGTAGGCATCGCTGATAACACCATGTCCCTGGGATCAGACCCTCCGCGTGCTCTCTGTCCCCACCCGTCCCCAAAGATGGGGCCGTCAGGATGAGTCTCTGTCGGGGCAGAGGTGAGCTCCCCCGACTTGAGGCAAAGGGCCCGAGTCTTGGATCACTTCCCAGGGGAGCCTGTGCTGTAGACATTTATATACAAGGTAAGCGGCCGCCCCGCGTGTCTCGAACGTGCAGGCTGGTGCCCGCTCGTGAGGGCCGCCTGGAGCAGTGACACAGGTGGGTTCCATCTGGCGGGAGTGGGGCCGGGGAGGGGCCGGTCAGAGAGAGTAAGGTGCTGGGGGAGGGAGGGGGGAGGCAGGCACCGGCGCCTCCCGGAGCCTGTGAGGAGGTGTCGGCAGGTGACGCTGCTCACCTCAGGTGAAGGAAACACAAGCAAAAATAAACGGGACCTAATTAAACTGTCTGAAGTTAAAGGTTTTGCACAGTAAAGGAAACCGTCAACAACATGAAAAGCCAACCTACTGAATGGGAGACAGTATTTGCAAGTGGTATGACCGATAAGCAGTTAACATCCAAAATACACAAACAGCTGATATAACTCAACGTCAAAAACAGAAGACCCCGAATGAAACATCGGCAGAACCGAATATGCATTTTTCCAAAGAAGAAGTGCAGATGGCCGAGAGGCACGGGAAGACGCTCCGCATCACCGGTCATGAGGGAAAAGCAGATCAGAACCACAGCGAGGTACCACCTCACCCCTGCCAAAATGGCCATCATCGAAAAGAACACAACCTGCCCCCCAGCCACGCCGATGAGGACGTGGAGAAGCGAACCTTTGTGCCCTGCTGATGGGAAGTGCTGCAGTCACCATGAAGACCACGATGGAGGTTTCTCAGCAGACCAACACTGGAACGACCACATGATCCAGATTCCACTTCTGGGTCCAAGGAAAACCCGAAACACCAAGACCAGACATGCTCCTCAGTGTTCAGAGTGGCATTATTTACAGCAGCCAAAACATGGAAGCATCCCAAGTGTCCACAGACAGATCAAGAAGACGAGGTGTATACACGTGATGGAATGTCAGCCATGAAAAAGAACAAGACTGTGCCATTTGCAACATGGATAGATTTGAAGGGTGTCATGCTAAGTGAAGTAAGTCAGAGAAAGACAAATCCTGTATGGTATCACTTGTAAGTGTAATCTAAAAAGTAGAAGAAACTAGGGAATATAGCAGAAAGGAAGCAGAATCACAGATACAGGAAACAGACTAGTTAGTGGCTCCCAGTGGGGGGAGAGTGCGGGGCGCACGATAGGGTGGGGGGTAAGAGGTACAAACCAGCCGGTGTAAACTATGCCACAAGGATGTACACTACCGGGGAGTGGAGCCGGTACTTTATAATTTGCCTTTCAGTTAACATGTAGTAACCTTTAAACACTCAATCACGGCAGCACACGGGAAACTTAGATTGTGCGCCGACTGTCCATAAAGAAAAAGCCCCGCAGCCGGGCCCTGGCGCACAGGCAGCCAGGACGTTGGGAGCTGAAGTGGCTCGTCCCTGCCCCCAGCGCCTGCCTCCTCCCCGTCCAGTTTGTGAGGGCACCTGCTCGGTCCTTGACCTTCGCAGCTGTGCTTGTTCCGAGGGTGTGTTCCTAGCGGTGGTGAACAGAAGGCTAATTCTCTATTCACAAACATGAGGCTTGCAGGCCCGAGCGGCCCCTCCCAGCTGCTCCGGGGTTCACCTGTGAGATGGGAGGGGCAGGAAGCCCACTTCCCCCCAGCAGCTCTGGGATTGCCCCCGAGGGGACACGCCAGGAAGGGCTGGGATGCGGGGTGTCCCGCGGGGAGCGTCCTCACTGGGAGACCACCGACCTCACCTCCTACATCTGCAACTACAAATGCATCGCCCAGGTCAGGTGTTCTGTCTAGTCTGTCATCCTGACAAGCTGACCCCGAGAACATTCGCTGAATTTCCATCCCCAATAATCTTGCCAGGTCTGCCTCCAAGGAAAAGGATGACTGCGTTTCCTTCAGTTCAGCTTGTTCAGCAGAACCTAACCATGATGAATGCAGTCTGCCGACCGCCAGGGTGAAGGGTGGCCCGCCCCGGAGAGACAACCACACACAGTCTGACCATGATTCCTGCCCTCTGAAGGAGCCCTCCTGCTGGGGGCCTTTGTGAAGGGAGGGCGTTTAACCCACAGAGAGACGCCGAGGGCTGCTGTCTGCCTGGCACTCTGCGGAGTCCCGCCTGAAATAAGCTCCTGGCATCGTATTCCAGGATGGGGCAGCCTTCAGGCTTGGCGCGCGTGTGAGAACCCAGAAGGAGGAATCAGAAATCAGGAGGAGGAATCAGAAATCAGGCAGTCCTGCGGACCTGCCTGCCTCCACCCAGAGCCCAGGGGCAAGACGGTCTGTCCTGGGCACCCTGCCTTGAACGGGACTGGCCGCATGTGTCTCTCACGTGGGAAAGGGAGGCTGGCAGGGTGTTGCGTGCTGCTGGCCTGGGCTCTATCTCACGGCCGAATAACTGCCACACTCACAATTAACAAAGCATGTGTTTAGAAAGTTAATGACATTCACGTACCAAGTTCAGGAGCTTGAACAAAAGTCACCGCTTCACTGAGCCCAAGTGACACCCGCGACAGCAGGACACCCGTCCATGTTGCTACGCCCTCAGCGCCAGAGCCTGTGCACGCGCCCCCCGCCCCCCAGGGACATGGCAGGGCCCCCCGCCATTTCAGAAAACAGGCCACTGCTTAGTCTTTGCGCGCGGCCTCTGCTGGGCAGGCATACGGGGGTGGGGTGGTTCCCAACAAGTATTTGCCAGACAAATCAGTGACGTAACCGGCTGGGCTTTCTCTCTCTGAGCCTTTTCTTTGGACTGGAGACACCGGCTTCTCAGCCAGCAGAAGACCAAGGCCCTTTCTACTCTACTTTCTGAGACCGACTTGTCGCTGAATCCTCCTAGGACAGTGGGCAGCGCTTGGTGGGGCTGAAGCACAGGCATATATCCAGGGACCCCCTGACAGCCCTCCTTTACCAGGGCCTCTTGTGTGGCTTGTACCCCCAAATCCCTTTGTTCCCCATCCCTCCAGCTGCCTGGACGGGACCCAGGGCTCAGTTCTCCCCTGATTCGGGCATCCCTGGGGGTCAGGGTGGAAGAGCAGTCCATCCCAAGCGGACGCCCAGTGCAGCCCGCACCTTGTCCAGAGGCCCAGGCTAGAGCTGGTGGCTCATTCACCAGAAGCTTTGCCAGGCAGCGCCCACCCCAACCCGTGTCCTTGGAAGACCCCTGCCTGCCCCATGGACTGCGCACACGCACCTGATGACCGTGGGGGTGATCTCTGCACAGAAGAACACGCTGAGGCTCCCCACCGCGTGGGAGGCGAACATGCCCACGATGGAGAAGGTGATGGAGAACTTGTCTTTGACGCTGTCGCTCATTCCTGGGGGAGAACCGGGGCGGTGAGGGGCTGGAGGGCGCGGGGGAGGGGCAGGGGGGAGGGGGCCTGACGGCGCTCTCCCCTCCTCCCCTCTGCCCGGGGTGAGGCGCAGGCCCCGGAGACGAGCAGCGAGTCCAGGCGTGGGAGGTCAGAGCCTTCCTGGCAGGTTCCCCCGAGGCCCCGGGCGGCTGGAGCGTGGGGCCCAGGCTGACTCTGCCGTAAGCTGAGGACCGGAGCGACCGGCAGGGACGGAGGCTGGGGGGCTCCCTGGCCTCAGGCCTGACCAAGACGAGGGACAGGAGCCCCGAGCTTGATTTAGCGGAACAAAAACTCAGATAACCCCGAGAGAGGAACGGGGGCCTGGAGGGAACGTGCCGGACCGAGTCAGGCATCTTGGCCGTGGCTCGGGGTCTGACCTCACACCCAGGCGGCGGCAGGCAAGCTGCTGAGGGTCGGAAGCAGGGTGCGGCCCGTTCCCTGCGAGGCTGGTTGGGAGCCTGGGGGGCTCGGCGCTGTAGGCCGGGCTCGTGCGTGCGCGCAGCCGTGTTGCGTGCAGGGGCAGCGGTCCACCAGTCCCCGCGGCCAGGGCGGCGGGCTTGGGGGGTTCACATGCAGGATGGGCGGCTTCCCCTGGCGGCGGTCAGGCAGACCTCCAATGCTCCGGGGCCGCGTCCCCGAGGCCCTGCATCCCAGCAGGTGTGGCTGGGCTGGGCCACGCTGCCGGCTGCTGCCAGGGGAAGGGGTGAGGGCAGCGTGCAAGCCGGACGCAAACGGGAGGGGGGCAGCCAGGCTTTCTAGAGGCGGGAGGGACAGAGGACAAGTGGATGCGTGTGGTGTCCAACCTACGGCCAACTTCAGCTGCAACTCTTGGGGCGAAAGTGGTGGGGAAAGAGAGGAAAGGGAAACCACAGGTCTGTGAGTCGCTCTGAAAACGCCCTTCAGGTGCAATAAAAAGACAGCATCACCGCACGCCCCCGGGGCTCACCTGAGTCTGGATGCTGGCTGTATTTCCCGATCACTGGGCCGTGGAACCGCAGTGGAGGGGGACGAAGGCGGGCAGAGAGGGGAGAAAGAGAGCAGGTCAGGGCGGCTGTTACGACCTCATGTGTCCAGGGGCAGCGGGGCGGCCTCTCTGCCCACATGCCAGGCCCACGTGGGCAGCACGGTTGACACTGCCAGCGGCCAGAGAGCAGGAGAGCCCAGGGCCTCCGGGTGGGCGTTTCACCAAATGGAGCGCCTCTCACCAAATGGAGTGCTTCCTGTTCAGAAGGGAGGTCTGGGGCCCCTCTGACTCTGGAGCCTGAGGAGGGTGCAGCTCTGAGAGGAGGGGTCCAGGCACAGCACCCTGCACCCCCTCAAGCCAAAGGGTTACTTTCACTGTGTCCAATGCCACTCAGGTCCCCGCAGCCTGTGCTGGGGCACCAGGCTCAGGTTAGACCAGGTGGCATCATGTGCCCGTGAAGCCTGGTCCCCTGGGCACCCCAGCTCAGGGACCAAGGTGGCGGCTGTGAGCCTGGGCTGCCGCTTGCCTGCACGTCCCCCCAACCCAGGGGCGCCGAGGAAGGCTCCGCAAGGGCAACTCAGGAGGCCCCAGCAGGGGACGGACCCCATGTGGCTGCAGCTGAAAACAAGACCAGTCTCCCGGCAAGATACTGAACGCATGCAAACTTGCCCAACTCGGAAAACTGAGTCCAACACTGGCTGTTCTAGAATCCAGTTTGCACAACAAGGCTGAGGAAGTCCTTAGTCTTTTCCTTCTCTTCCCTTTGTTCTGGACATGTGCTCCCCACCTGGACGTCACACAGACCTGGGATACTAGGAGGCGTTTGGCTTTCTCAGCAGCTCTGGCCTAACTCCTGACACCTCGGGAGGGAGGGGGCAGCCATCAGAGGCATCTGGTTGCCATGGCGCTGGAGTGGGGGGGGGGACGGTCCTGGGTGGAGGGGGCTCGGGCGCCCGGCTCCTGCCTCGCTCCAGGTGATCAGACACTCTGGGCCTCGTCCCCGCGTGGGAGCAGCTTCAGTTCACCAGAGCTGCACTGAGCTTGACTCTTAAGAGCCGAACGAGCTACACAGATGGTCTAGCTTTTCTTTAAATGATTTTTAACATTTACTGAGAAGTTCTCCGGCCCCAAGAGCAGCTAATAAACTCGGGAACACGTACTGAAAAGCAGTGTCCCAGGGCAAGGGTGTCACCGAGTGTTTATCTTTCCCTTGATGTCACATGAGAGAAGTCCTTCCTTACTTCTCAGGTGATGATGGATCACAAAGGGGCCATGTGGCCACCAGGGGGTCATGGCTGCCAGGACTGCAGAGACCTCGGTGCCCGGGAGGGCTGGGGTCAGGGCGGGAGGAGAAGAGACCCCACACCCTTGGGGCAGGAGGGGAGACCCCACACCCTAGGGGCAGTGGCCGCGTGTTCTAAGGGTAGCTCATCCTGCAGCTGCTCAGTGCAGGGGTTCTGGGAGGACAGCGGGGCCCCTGGGTATCGCCCCCCCCACCCCCGTGCCCCTGGTCCCGCCTGCTGCCCACTGCCCACCCCCCCCACCCCAGCCCGGCCCACTCACGGTTGAGCAGCCCGAGCTGCAGGAGCGAGGCCAGGGCGGTGAGGATCATGAAGAGCAGCAGGCCGCCCCGGCGGCCCAGGACGCGCACCGCCAGGCACATGGCCAGGCAGGACGCCAGCGCGATGCCGGCCGCCGCGTAGTAGTCGGCGTAGAAGTCTTCGAGCAGCGGCTCCTTCACCTCATGGCCCATCATGCTTCGGGCGAAGCAGTGGTGGATCCCGAAGCCGGTCAGCCTGCGGGCACACGGCGCGTGGGCCACAGGGTCCCAGGGGCGGGGCCGCCGCGCTGTCCCGAGGCTGGGGGTCCGTGTCCGCCAGCACGGTTCCCTCCAGACGCTCGGGCAGCTCCTCGGCTCACCGGCCGGCGCCGCTCCTGGGCGCCCTGCCCGCCGCCGCCCGGCCCCCGCACTCACGAGTTTACACACAGCACCACGATGTTCTTCCACAGGTTCCGGGTCCCCACCACCTTCACGATGCAGACCTTCCTGGGCCTCCGGGACAGCTCCTTCTCCAGCTCTGTGGGGAACGGCTCGTGAGCCACACTGGCCGGCCGGCCGGCAGGGGGCCCCACTGACAGCTGGGTGCGAACTGGGGCGTCAGGAGGAGAGCGGTTTCTGCTCGGGCGGGGGAGGGCCTGGCTCTCGGGGCAGAACACTGGCTTTGCAGGTGCAGCAGGCGCTGCAGGGAACCGGGCCTTTTCCAGAGACAGCAGGATGCACGAAGCAGCCACCCAAGTGGGCTCTGTCTGTAGGCGTTGCTGGCGTGCGCTGAGGCCCTGGTTAGGCTCTGGCAGGGGTTCTCCTCCTTGTGGAGTCTGACTGGTCTGCATCTCCTTCTGCTTAAGGACTGGGAGACACACGCGCTGCCCTGGTCCCCAAACCACCCCTGTGGGCACAACAAACTGGGCAGGTGCAGTGCCCACATCTTAGAAAGAGAAGTGGCCAAATGGACCAGGAGATCCAACCAGTCCATCCTAAAGGAGATCAGTCCTGAATGTTCACTGGAAGGACTGATGCTGAAGCTGAAACTCTAATACTTGGCTACCTGCTGTGAAGACCTGACTCATTGGAAAAGATCCTGATGCTGGGAAAGATGGAAGGCGGGAGAAGGGGACAACAGGATGAGATGGTTGGATGGCATCACCAACACGATGGACTTGAGTTTGAGCAAGCTCTGGGAGTTGGTGATGGACAGGGAAGCCTGGTGTGTGTCCATGGGGTCGCAGAGTCTGACTCGACTGAGCGACTGAACAGCCACAACGACACCCTTTTCAGGGGCCAGAAAAGGAAAAGGAGACTTAAGCAAGCAGGACTGTTGAAGCTGGGGAAGTGAGTAAAGACTGAAAGTGCGCCAAACAGAAGCGGCTGGGGGCCTGAGGAGTGGGCAGCCCTGGTGGGGTCCTGGGCAGCCCTCGGTGAGGATGTCGGGTCCAGGCTGCAGCTGGGCTGCCCGCAAGAACAGCCATGCGGTTTCCCAGCCGTGACACAGTCAGGGGACCTGGGACGTTACAACAGGGAGACTGATGGGGAGGTTTCAGAATTCTGACTCTGCAGCTTTACCATAAACTTGAGATGAATCCTAAACAAGTGCACTAAAAATAAAGCCCGCGGTGGGTGCGAAGGCCTGGGGGAAGCGGGGTTGCCTCTGGAGGGGCCTGGGAGTGGCAGCTCTCTTGGGAGACGGGGTCTTGGGGGTGTGTGCCCCCCCCCCCCCCGAGCCTCCTAGGCCCTCTCCCTGCCATCCCACAGGAGAGGGTCACCACCTCACCAGTGACAGCTGGGGAACAGGCCGCTTAACCACAAGGGCTTAGGAGGTTTTCTCTTTTAAAATGTTTGGGGACTTCCCTGGTGACCCAGTGGTTAGGAATATGCCTTCCAATGCAGGGGACATGGGTTCGATCCCTGGTTGAGGAACCAAGAGTCCACAGGCTACGGGGAAATGAAGCCGGCGTCTCACAGCTGCTGAAAGCCTCACGCTGCACGGGAGACCCAGTGCAGCCAAGAAAGAAAAAAGTCCAGATCAGCACCACCAACTGGGGCCCGGAAGGGAGAAGGGGGACTGCTCCTACATCCGAGGGATCAGCCCCCTGAGTCTCCAGAACCTTCTTCCTTCTCACTGTTCAGGCCCAGACCTGGCGGCCTGTGCCCCAGCTGGAACAGCTGGCCCTCCAGCCGTCCATCCACAGGTCCTCCTGACCTTTATCGTCCCCTCTGCAGAAACAGGCTCATGGGGGTTACAGACACACTTTCCCCACGGTCACAACACTAGAAGACGTTTAAAGAGCATGGAAATGTGCTCCAAACACATAACGCCGACCCAACGATACGAGTATCCTCACTGTTGTAAAACTGCTCATGAACCTGCTCACAGGTTCTACACTTGCTCACCACGGAAATCTCCCAAGAAGAAAAACCAAACGTCCATTAGTACAGCTGTATAGATTTAAATTTTTTTTGTACTGTGGCCCAAACTGAATTCCTGATACTTTCTGGTATATGAAGTAGAGGTTGTTAAGAAGCTTAGCAATTGTAATTATGATCTGAGTTTTTTTCTTTTTTAAGCATTAAACTCTGGAGCCCAAGTTGACTGTAGTCTGCAGAGGTAGCTGCGTTACTCTGGGTGGAATCCCATTGACCCGTTGGGGCTGCTGGTGTCTTGCGCATCCCCGGCCTGTCAACAACAACTTAAAACTTCCCAGGTCTGTTCTGGGAGGAAACCCAGCGGGGAGGCCCTCGGGATGGACACCAGAGGCCTTTCGGTCTCTCCAGAAATCTCGGGGCTCCCTGAGGTCCTCACGTGGGGGAACAGGAGGGACAAGGGGTGCAGAGAACAGGCTCTGAGCACCTGCAAGTTGATGGGGAGACGCCTCCCCTCTCCCCGCGCCTCTTCCAACCTCTTGGAGCCAGACTTGAGATTCCAAGACAAAGGCTACGTTGGGCCTCTGGGGCTCCAGGCTGCCCCTGCTCCGCCTGCGCCCCCTTTCTGCCCTGCTCCCCGCAATGGGCCACCGGGGAGCCGGTCCTGGCCGGACAGGTGACAGCTGTCCTCACCTGGGGGGGCGAGGGGCCTGACAGAACCCCAGCTCTCACCCTCGGGCTGAGGCTTCCCGTCTGATGAAGGGACGGATTAACGACCAGACAGAAGTCGCGGGGCTGCCTGGCCCCCCATGTGCAGCCGCCTCCCTGGCCCTGGGCTCGGCTGACCCAGACCGTCCCAGCTTCTCCCCAGCCAGCGCAGGGACTCCTTCCTGGGCCTGGGGGACCCCCGCTGACCCCTGAGGCTGACCCCTGAGGTGGCCTCTCAGCCCGCGAGTCTCCAGCCAGCTTGAGGACCCTGCAGGAGCAGGAAGCTTATGCAGAGGGTCAGAGGCAGGTCGCTGGGGGTAAGGAGGGGGCCTGACACCGGGACCTGTTCCTCACCCGGGGTCCAAGACAGAGCGAGCCACACGGGGCTGGGTCTACACACTGTTACTGAGCAGGGCTCGGGCAAAGCCCCCTGGCCTGATGTGGGTACCCTCGAACCTCAGAGCCTCACCCAAACGACCTGGGCCAGGACGCTCCCCTCAGCGTCAGGCTGCCCAGAGAGGGCCTGCTGCAGGGGGACAGGACTGCCCCAACCCGGCTCACGCGGAGGAGGCAAGGGGGCTCCTCCCAAGGAGGGAACGCTGAGGGGTGGGGAGCCCTGCCCCAGCCCCAGCCCCTTGGGGCCCCTTCCCCAGAGGTAGAGGGGGATGATCTCATTGACAGAACAGGTTCTGAGGGGGGTCAAACGCATAAAGAGCGGCTCAGCCCCGCCTGGCCGGGGTGGAGTCAGGGCTGGAGAGAAGCCCGGAGGGGCCTGGATTAGATGCCAGGGAGGAGTGTCCACCCAGGCAGTGCAGGGCGCAGGTCTGGAGCTTGGACAGCCGCCGTCCCCCGGCTTTGCCTGGGTGCTGCCGCGGAGGGAGACCCAGGGGCGGGGACAGCCACGTGCCCCGGAGCCCCGGGCTGAACCCAGAACCACCCAACTCCTGGGCAGGGAAGCAGGAAAAGACTGAGCAATGCCTTCCAAAAACAGGAGGGAAATGAATCTGTGCAACGAGGATGCAGACAACAAGCTCCTCCCAGATGGGTTCTAACCCAGAAGCAGCAGAAGAGGCGACGTAAGTGGGGAAACACCGGAAACAAGGCACTCTGACTTAAGAGCGCTGACGTGCTAATGACTGGGTTTGGGCAAGACTGGGGATGAGGGCGGGACCCTCCGCAAGGAGCAGATGCGGCCCTCCGCCCCGCCGCCCCGCCCGGCCTGCGTCCACCCCCCTCTCCTGCGGCAGCACCGAAGCCGCTGCCGCTGGGCTTGCAGGGCCCACGTCCCAGGGCTACTGCTCACTAGCTGTGTGACCCCTGGCAAGACGCTCAACCTCTCTGTGCCTCGGCCCCCTCACCTGCGAACGGGCACAGTCACAGCACCCTGCACAGAACTGCTGTGGAAAGACAGCACGCGCCACTCACTTCTAGGGCTTGCTGAACACAGAGTGTTCAGGGTTCGTTCCAAGATCTACTGGACCAGGGCTCGGGCTGCCGGGAGGGGCCCAGGAGTCTGGGCTCCAACAGCTCCTGGTGACACCACGCGTCTGGTCCAGCCTGTGCTGACATTCCTGATAAGTTCTACGGATCTGAACTTTCCTGCTTCTTCCGACGCCTAGTCAATAGGTCCTGACAGATACAGACAATGGGGTAGCTGCCTGAAGGTCCTGCTTGGGAGAGATGGCTCGGGGACCAGGGCCACCCCTAGGCCAGCGTCTGCTGGCACCACCCCCTGCAGGCAGGCAGGCAAGGCTGAGTGCCAGGTGCCGGCTAAGCCTCGAGTTTCCCCCGAGGAGCAGGGGCACGGAAGGTCACGCCTCCCTCCAGACTTGGACCCGATCACGTTCCTCATTGAGCTGGGGACTGACCATCACAGGAAGTGAGACCGCTGGGTGGGGCCACTGCCTGGCAGAGTGGGGCCCGTGCAGGGCATGTTGTGGGGTGACTCCCTGTCCTGGAGGGGTGGGGGGGCCCCCACGCCTGGTGGGGCCTCGGGGCTGAAGGGAAGACATGCTCACCAGGCATCACGCCTTTGATGTCACTCTCGGGGCTCATGTGGTTCTTCTGCGTGAAGTGCAGGATCAGCTTCTTTGCCGACTCAAACTGGTGGGTGGCCATGAGCCACCGCAGGGACTCGGGGAAGATCCTGCAGAGAGACGGGGGGAGCGGGTGAGGGTCTTTGCATCGTGTGGGGTGAGGAGACGCTCTGTCGGGGGCTGGGAGCGTCCAGGCAGGTCCGTCTGGGTTTCTGTCCGTGAGCTGGGGCGGCCAGTGGGTGCTCAGGACTCGGGTAGTGCCGCCGGCCAAAAGAAAACTGTGGCCCTGGATGTTCCTAGTTTTCTTTAGAAAGTGTAAACGTTGCGATTTTTAAAATATGGCAGAAAGGAGCAGCATCCTCCCAGCTGTGTTAAGAAACCCATGTAGGCTGTTGAGCACAACGCTGTGCCTCTAAAGCCTGTTCCGGCAACTCAGGGACAGGCTGCTTTCGTGATAGTTTGTCTCAAAACCGGGGCTTCCCCTGGTGGCTCAGACAGTAAAGAATGCAGGAGACTTGGGTTTGCTCCCTGGGTCGGGAAGATCCCCTGGAGGAGGAAGTGGCCACCCACTCCAGCATTCTTGGCTGGGAAATCCTATGGACAGATCTGTTTCAAAAAACAAATATTCACAGAATGATTTTAAGTTTTAAAAAATGCCCCCATCCTAGCAACCTGACAGGCACTTTCCCAGGCCTCCCCCGCAGAACTATTTTCACCTTGCTGATAATGCCCGGAACTCCTCCCTGAAAGGATGGTTTTCAAGGGTTATTGGCAACAGGCTCCTTGCTGGTTACTGTTTAGGATGAAATCTGATGAGGATTCCCAGTGGGAGGAAGAAACCTCCCAAAGTCGTGTCTTATTCTCAGTGCATTTTGTAATTTTACATTTATAACAACATTTGCAAGTTGGCCGAAGAGAACGTGCCTGTTTGGAGCAGGGGTCAGCATGCTTTTTCTGTAAAAGCCCAAACAGTCAATATTTTAGACTTTGCCTGTGGGCCACGAGGTCTCTTCATAAACCAGCCACTGTCCCTTCCTCAGGGAAGCTGGGAGTCAGGGCTGGGGACGACAGCACAGCCCCTGCGGCCCACGCTCCGGGTGTCCCCGTGTCCCCTGTCGCTTGCAGCGTGTCCGGGAAGCGTGACTGGTGCTGATAAGCAGTTATCTTTGCTGCTGCCTGGCACCTGCCCTGCCAGCTCTGGGGAGACTCCAGTTAGAGTCAGCCAGAAGCCAGAAAAGCTGACTCTGACAGAGTCACATCACTCATGATGCAACAGCTGTCATCCCCTTGCTTGTTTGAACAAAAATCAAGTTTCTAAATGTTCATAATGTATTCTGCAGGAAGAGCTGACGTCAGCGGTACATTGGGTACACTGGGATGCTCTGTGAGTGTTAATCGGAGCTGGGTGACCTGGGTTGTCACCAAGAGTCAAAGAGCCCCCCTCCCACCAGGCTGCAGGAGGGTCCTCCCCAGGAAGGCATGGTCCGAGCCAGAAGCTGGGCTCGGGGAGCCCCACGTCTTTTCCCCTGGGACCCCCCCAGAAAGCTGATAAAACACAGGTTTCAAACTGGAGGTACAGATTTTTTTTTTTAAATAATAAAAGTTAATGTTTTACTGGCCTTTATTTTTTACAAATTAACTTTGAATAATGTATGTCCAGCAAACAGAAACACTCAGAATCATATTACATAGACATTAACATCTTGCCATATTTTATCAGAGCTTTTCCTTGTAATGAAATAGCCTAACACAGATGCCCACTCTTACGGCTCTCAGTACCCTCTCCCATCCATCTTTCTGATTTATTTGAGTTTAGTGTCACGTTCTTATTTCTTGAGAGAGACACATAGATCATTAACTTTAATTCTTCTTTTCTAATATGTGCATTTTGGACTTCAAAATTCCACCTACCATTAGCTACACTTTACAACTTTTGATAAGGAGTTCTTACTGAGATTTGATTCTAAATATTTTGTGACTCTCTCAGGATTTTTTCTTACCTATGACAAACCTCGTATATATTTTAAAAATGTAAATGTTACATATATATGTATATATAAACATATGTACATATTACATATATATATACATTTACCAACACATAGGGTTTGAGAGGAGGGTAGTGGTAGAGTTGCAATCTTGTTTCATTGATTTTTAATTTTTTAAAATCATTTTGAGAAAACACAGTCTGTGTTCCTGCAAGCTGGCACAACCAGAACCCTGGATCCAAGAGGAGAGATGAGAGGAGAGAGGCAGGGCCCAGCGAGGGGGGCCCCTGAGGTTATGGGGGAACAGCGGCCCTCGGACCAGAATGAACCCAAGTAAGAAACTGCTCTCCCAGGAGACCTGGGCACAGGTGACAGGCAGACTCTTAGCCACACGACCCGTCTCCAGGGGCAGACAATATTGCAAACCACACCCTCACGACTGGGTCTACACTCACTAGGTCTGCTGCCACACGTTTCCCATGAGTTTAAGCCTTTCAAGCTTGTTATGTGGAAGTAACATTTTCCCCACTGAACAGATGGGAAGACTGAGGTGAACAAAGTTCAGGGACATCGTCCAGATTCCACGGGGTTAAAGGCAGAGCTGGATCAGAGCCCAGGCACCCCGACCTAGGACCCGTGACCAGAACCTCGGGGGTCACAGCAAAGACGCCCAGCCCGAGTGCAGGGACGGTGCTCCGATGATGGGGGATGGGAGGCAGACACTGGTCCAGTGACGCCCCCTCGGGCCCTCCAGATGCTGTGGTGCCCATCCCCTCCCCGGTGTTTCAATCTGCTGTGGTCATAAAGGACTCGCTGAGCCGTCCGCCGGTGAGAAAGCCCAGGACGGCCGCTCCAACCTGGCTGATGTGCGGTGCGGCCACATTATGGGAACTTAATGAAATGTCTCCTGACAAGTACATAATGTAATAACACCATGGAAATTAAAAAGCCGGCCAGTGGCCCAGGGTCTGGCAGGAATGTAGCTGAGCCTCAGGAATATCCATCATTTTCAACAAAAATTTAAGAGCGTAGTGAGCGGCTGGAGCCCACGTCTGCTGCGGGACTCACGTGTGGGGCCAACACTAAAACAGCAACCACTCCAGTATTCCTGCCTGGAGGACCCCACGGACAGAGGACAGAGGTGGCTACAGTCCCTGGGGTCGCAGATGAGTCAGACAGCACTGAGCCACTAGACAGCAAGAAGCAGCAAGTCAGACGTGCACTCATGGTCTGTTCTGCATCCCCGCCACCTGAAATATCCCTCGGAAATTAAAGCTTAATATTGTGATCCTTTCATGATACTATGACGCTGACATTTTCTTCTTAACGTTTAACAATAAAGCCAAGTACTGCTTCTGTCCCACTGGACATCATGCACGTTGCCTTCCTGCTCATCCACATAACACCTGGTCCTGGCAAGGGTCTGCATCTAAAGCTTGTCTCTCTTCAAATCACTGAACTGGAACATTTACTCACAAAGAAAGTATGGAAGTAAGGCTGATTGCTGACACTGTAAAATTAATTCTATACTTAAGTTGTTCTGTCTGTGATTCCAAGGCACTTAGTTTTGGGTGACAGGCCTGCTGAAAGCTGTGCTCACACACTGGTGATGTGACATCACCACACTCATGGGGGAAACGTGACCTGAACACGATCAACCGGCCACAGGGAGAAACATGTAAACCAGTGAGGATGGAGGGGCAGAGCTGTGAAAGGCTTTGAGGATGGAGTTTCCCTGAACGTGGCTGAGAAAAGGGTCGTAGATGGTTGTTCTAAGGGTGCTTTGATTTAAAGAGGTGATTCTAGCTCTGGAGTATTACCAAGCATCACACCTATGACATTCTGAAAAGGCTCTCAAAATGGAAAAAAAAAAAATCAAAGACTAGAATTTAATTAAACACCAGTTGGAAGGATATTCTAAGTCTTTGAGTCAAAGCTCTTATAAAAATATACACTTGGTTCCAGTAGATAAGCTTTCACCTGAATTTTTTTAAAACTTTTGTTCTGTTTGGTATTGAAAAAATTAGGTAAGGAGGCTCAATTCAGGGTAGAGCAAATGGATATGAATTAGCTCTTTTAAAAAAAAAGTCAAGTTCATGATTTCAGCTAAATTTAGTAAATTAGGGATAAGGGACAAGTACAAAATCAAAGAAAATTTGGCTCTCAGGATGGTTAAGCCCCAAAGTCTTCCTAAGGCAAATGAACCCTTCCTGTAAATTCCTGTAGCACAAGGAATTCTTTCATAATTAAATTGCATCCCACGAGCTGATAGGTTACAAAAATTTGGAGCGCAGCACCTTTATTGGTTTGCAACACGATGTACACCTAAGCTCCAGCATTCCTTCACTACGGCAAAACTGTGGGGGAGATGTATCAGGAGGTCCAGGCTCATAGACCAGTTTTGTGACCTTGGGCAAGTCACCTCACCCCAGGCCTCTGTTTCCCCATCTGTGGAATGGGGTGGGGGTGTGTCATGACACCAGGCTCCCCTGGCCCCAACATTCTAATTTATTTCAAGGGGGCTCGTGGCAACTGTTGCCTCTTTCTGAAAGTTAAAAAAGGTGTTGTTCACACAGTGCACGGAGCCCATACTCCAATGCTGCTTTAGGTTCTGCCAGGACGGGTGGAGTCAGTCCCTAAGACGGCTTCGCAGCTGGCCTTTTAAAGGTTCGGCAGCTCTGAATGGAGCGCAGCGTGGAACAGCTGGGATACATTTAAAACGTCCCTCAGTTCCCGCTCGAGACAGGGGTTACTTGGAATTCATCTGGGCTCATTTCATCCACTTCCTTGGACTCCCTTCTTTCAGTTCCTTTTACTAACTGATTCATGGGAAAGGTGATCAGGCTGCAGAAAGCGATAGGACACCTGGGCATTCAAATGTAGTATTGTAGGGGAATTAATCTGGCATTTTTGCCAACGATAAAAATAAAATGTGATGCTGAGAAACGACCTGAGGAGGTGAGTGGGCAGAAGCAGCAGAGCCTCCGTGCGCTTCTTTTTCTAACTGGAATTCCATCGGCCCCTCTGAACCAGCCGCCTGTTACAGGGAGCTTCTCGGACCCCGGGGAGCAGCCCCTCACGCCGCCCCGCCCCGGCCTGTGGCTGCAGTCTCGAACCCCTCGGGATGATCACAAATGGAAGCCTGTGGTTCGTCTCCTGCCAGGACTGCCCGCGCATGTGGGGCTGCTGTGGGCTGTGCCGGAGCGCCTTCAGTGACCGACGGAGGCTGGGACCCGGCCACTCTGTCCGTCCGGGGACTCTTGCCAGTTGCCAGTCGGGCAGGGACTTAGCAAGTTCTCCCTGCACACCTGTCACCAGGCCACTTCCCCAATTTCTGCCGCCGCCAACAGCTCCACCCTGCCACTCCCACGACACCCATGCACACACGACACACACACACACCTGCATACAGCACACACGTGCACGCACACTGCCGACGCGCGGCCTGGTCTCCAGGCTCCGAGATTCTCAAGCCGGTCT